AAATGTTGACCTTAGAAACTTAGAATTACTGAAAAAACACTTATTTTTTTTTTTATTTTATTTTTTTGGTTTATTTCTTGGTTTTGCATACCAATTATAGTAAAAACACTTATCTATTGATAGAAGCTACCATGCATTTAGTGAAAACACTACTAATATCTATTTTTAAATAGTGCTTTTAGGTTTTTTTTTTGTTTTTTTGTCATCAATAGTGATTTTAGGTTTATTGTACCAGAATCAGAAGAAAACTGTACCAGCTTTTCCAAAATATTCTAATGCTCTAAAAAAAATTATACATAACATTGTAGTTTTAGAAAAATGTTAGTCTTTTTCTTCTTTTCATTGCATCCGAAAGTATTTATTTCTTGGTTTTGCATACCAATTATAGTAGATACAACAAAACTTGACACAGTGCTAATAGCTAGAGCCATAAAGAAACGAAACAAAATAAGTTAAACACAAGTGATCTTGACTTTAGAAGTATCAACTGGGCTCCCGATATTTCGTTTTGGTTAAAGAAGTATGTGGGCTTAGGCCCATGAGATCTGTGGACAAAGCCGATGAAAGAGCTAGCAATGTGTGAGCTGTGACTTCTCGTTTGATATGAGTAACTGAGTGTGTCTGTCCGTTGCAAGTTGCAATCGCAAAAATAGACAGCTAAACACAGCAAAATACATTATACAGAAACTTTAGGTGTTCTAATATCTCTGTCTTTTTCAAATAATTATGTAGAAAATGTACTGTTCTAATTTACTTAAACTTAAGAACCTCACTTCTAGAGTATTTTTAGCTACATAAATATTTGATGCTTATTATGGTTCATTAATATTACAAGTATGTATAATCACAACATAATTGATCAATGATCACAGAGTCTCGGACATGCTGTCGCAGTTTTTTTTCTTTTCTTTTTTTTCTGTTAACTAGGAGGTGTTCGGATTTGGACTTTAATTTCTGCCTGGCTTGAGACCAGCTTTAGGGAAACATTAATTATTGAGAGTATCTTAGTCCTAAGATACCCTTTTTTGCATACCCCCAATAATGTTGATCTTATGACATAGCGTAAAACATCCCTCCCACCGAGAATCGAACTAGAAAGCACATTGATCAACCTCTTGTACTTAAACCACTAGTCCACCGCACCAGTAGTTGTATGTCGCAGTTAATCAATATGAGGCTGATTCTTATAATTGTGTAAGAAACAGCCTAGTATATAGTAGCGAGTAAGAGTTGGAAAATTAAAAAAGATAAAAAGATTTGCAATATAATTGGGTAATCCTCATTAAGCCTGCACACCATCAAAGTTACAATATTGTCTTCCAAATCAATATCACAAACTCATCTAAATAGTGAAACCAAAAAAAAACAGCCACTATTATGGATAAAAAGATATATAAACATTTGAATAAAAATTTATAAATAAAACGAACGAGAATCATAACTTTTCTTTTTCACAAGTTGCCTGCAGAACAAAGCATGAATTAGATTATTTAGATATGTGGGCATTGATTTAACTATAGTAGCTAAGGTCAAAACTACTTTCAAAGCATGAAAGCTTTTTACGACCCATTTAAACTACTACTATACAAAAATGTCTCCTCGATCGTTACTAATTTAGATGTACAATTACAATATATTTAGGTAAGATGTTGTCCATTTAGGAACTTCGGTTTTGTTTCGCACAAGTCACAACTGGTCTAACTGCTTCCTTTGGTGTAGTCCAGTTATGAGTTTCTATATAGTCAAATTGCAACAAAAAGTTAATTATAGCTTTAGATTAAAACTTAGTTTCTAAATGTTTACGTGTATGGTTTTTATTTCATATATTATTACAAAGGCGTCTTTGTTTTTTTCTTTATTAATCTTCTTCTATCTCTATCAAACCTGAAAAGACATTTTTCAGATCAGATTACATTTCTTCAAAGATAAAAAGTAATCCGTTAAAACGTCTCCTACCATATCCATCACAATCGTCCATAATCATCCAATAGTAATTAAACAACTATATATAATTCTATTTACCTTTACCTATATTGTTTAAACCTGTAACTAATTTAACCTAATATTTTTCAGATCAGAACACATGAGAGAGATCCACC